CATAATAAGCCATTCCATTATGGATACAAAAAATTTTCGTGGTAAAGAAAACCTCCTCCACCACGAATTAGCCAAACATTGGTTTTCATCCTTTACCTTTGTTCGTAACAGCTCTGATAGCGATGCATATGCTTCCACCTCGTTTGTCAGCTTAGATCAGCAAAAGACGTTCGATAGAATTATTTACATCATCGTTTTGAATGATTTGCGTTATGGGGCTGAACCAATACCATATGCATTTCCATTTAGTATGACAGTCATTCTGCAGAGAGCATTACACTGAAACAAATCGACATGTACCGTTTATTGGATCCATCTTATAACATAGCAATGTCAGCAGATTTATTCATTCCATGTGATGATTGATAGATTCCATTGGATTATCACTTAAAAACTATGACTGCGATATGGAATGATTTCTATCGTAATTTCACATACTTAGTACTTGATAATACTTTGCTTCGAACGCGGTTAGCGATAGGTAAGAAGTATATGAATATTGTCTGATATATTTCATGGTGAAAAACTGTTGATATGTCATGGGTGGGAACAGACATCTAGAAACTAATGGAAAATCATATAAGTTTGCACTATGAGAAAATCCAGTAAAATATACTTGTTTTCATGATGAATATTGCTCACTAAAATATATATCTTATAAGATAATGATGTATATTTTATTGGAGTTGCTTTTAATGATTTTTGACGTTTGTTGATATGTCGCGTGTAAACAGACATGTAGAAACTATTGGACTGTCATTTAACTTTGCAGTATAGGAAAACATGTATATCTCATTGGAATAGCTTTGATAGCCTTTGATTTTTGAGGTTTAAAGATTGTAAACAGATCTATCCCAATCATTTAATAGTCATATAGATTTGCCTTTTAAGAAATCCAACAGCAAACGTTTGTTTTTGCATGTTTTTCTGGGCTGAATATCGCTCCCAATAAAATACATCTTACATGATTGTTCTTTATAAATTATTGAAACAATTTTCAACGATGTTATCGTACACTCATTAAAATGATTAGTTGAACTAAATACTACTAACAACAATGATACTGTATTGAATAATCTTTGTTTGTTATTGTTTCATAAGATAAGGGGTTCCGGAAAAGAATGTATTGAGATTGAAAAAAAATGATTCTACTGCAATATTTACTTTGCTATGATCCTAATTGTAAGCCTTCTACACGGCTAATTCAGATTCCAGCCCTAGTACTCGAACTTCATGAACCAGTTACATCAACTTATATAATTTAGTCGTTGATTTATTGCACACAGGTGCATTAAGAAAGATTTGAACAAACCACACCACCGAAACGGAACATAAATTTGTCAGTGCTATTTGTCTTCACTCTAGCATTCCATGTCGGGAGAGCTGTTCTTACTTCATGCTATTTGAACGAGCTCAATCTTGAAGTCAGCCGTGGCCCAGTGGAATCGAGCGCAGACACCGAAAGCATCACACCTCAACAGTCCTTGATCGAATCCCAAATCAGCTACAATAAAAAAAGGCACAACTGTGAAAGCTCCCACTGCCTGATGTTTATTTTTCGATTTATTTTTAGAAATCGATTAAATATATGTGTCAAAAGAAGAAGTAAATTTCATGTTATTTTCACATAAACTTTACTTCGATTGATTTATGACACATATATTATATTGTGGTGAAAAGTATAGCTTATGCTTATCGGCTTCAAATCCATTTCAGTTAATTATTATAATTTGATCGATTTTCATTTATCATACAACGATCATATAAAAGTTACCAAATTATCAGCATTGTAAATGTATCAGATATTCATATAGAATTTACCTGACACATTTTCAATCATATAATTTTCAATGGATTATCTTATAGCGCAAATTTATAAGATTTCCACATAACAGGAATATGTCATATTGGTTCAGTGTACGCATTTCAACTGAAGGCCCTATCCCTTCTCATGACAAGTTTCATCCTGAATTCGAGAGGAAAATCATCCGATTTCAAAACAACCGTCATCCGGTTGCAGCTATCATTCGAAAAAGCGATTTCGGTGTTTTGTTTTGAATGGTCTGAGCACAGACAAGCAGACATAACACATTGAATATTTCTCACTTTAAAACATCGTCGCTAAAACATTACCGCCATCTGTTGAATACACAGTGGTAGGTAGTACGCTGAACAGATGGCGGTAGTGTGTAAACGTCAAACGCAAGGGAATTGACTATGCGCGCAACAGGTGGCGGTACTACCAACTACGATACTTTTAAATCGACTGTTAAATGCTTGTTCGATGAACAACTTGCCAGTGTTATGTCTGTTTGTCTGTGGTCTGAGGTTTCATTCGATCAGAGGATGATGTTTGTGTACAGTATACTTCTGCGTGAAGTCAACACGGAGAAAAAATAGTACCCAAAATTTGAGTTCTATTTACTTAATATTGAGTTTAGCCTCTCACTTACACTCTTTATTGTTGTCAAAAAAGGAACGAGAGATTCGACCCAACGGTATAGTTCAGCCCAATAAGTTACTTTTGAGTAAATTGCATATTCTCAAATTTACGTAAATTAAACTTAATTTGGGGTAGAATATACTTAAGAGTAGGTAATTTTTTTGCTGGTGTTAAATGGAAACTACTATACGCGATTTACACAAATTTGGGTTATTGGGCTGAACCCTGGAATAGAGGGAAAGTACTTAATTTTGGGTAGTAGTACATAGTTGAAGACGCTAATTTCAAGTAACAGACTAAAGTGGTTATTTTTATACGATAGATGAGGAGACGACAGGAGACGATGACAGGAGCACATACCGTGGTAGAAGTAACTATAGCTGCAATTCCCCTCACCATCCCTCTCCTACTCTCTATATACAATTTTCAAACTGCCGTACTCTATCGGAACCAGGGCGTCAAAATATCAGCTTCAATCGACCAAATCGATGCGACGAAGAGACTGCTGGCTTTCTTTTTCTGTTAAAGTCGAACAGCTTCGCAGCATTCTATAACCTCAGTCGGCGTGCACATACAAATTTTCAATCGCTTGTCTCTCTTTCTCCCGTCGCTCCATTGGGCTTTCTTTCAAGCTTCGGTGAAACGGATGAGCGAAAGAGCGCTCGACTTTGATAGTTTTCTCTTTCATGAAACACATCAACAGAGGTTTCATGACGTACATGACGGAAAATGAAATAACACAATTAAAGCATTTCTCACGTGAAAACACGTGAAGATTACACGTAATATTTTTAATTTATCTTCCATCCATATATTTATCAAAAACGGGACATAACGCATTTTAAACAAATTGAAAGATCGGTGATAGAGTGTTCGTGAAAGGGGATTGAAAGCCATAATGAGGTTCGTTTAACTAGAAAATCGACGTTAGTTACATTGAAAGCGATGAGCAAAGCAACGACGAGAAGTTCCACAGCCAGCGTTTCCGTCTAAGCGTGCTTCTTTTTCACTATCATTTCTTGCTGATAGTCTAGCTAGGCGTTATAGAAATGAAGCGTCGAACACGTATGTAGGAGAGAAAAAAAAACACGAGTTCATTTTAGAGCTTCGAAAATGTAGAGCCCTGATCGGAACTATCAACTCTATACTTTCATCTCATCATCTATCTTATAAAAATAACCACTTAAGTCTGTTATTTGAAATTAGCATCTTTAACTAAGTCAATCTTTGTTAGCAGAGACGGATATTCGCCGGTGCCATCGACACCAATTATTCGGAAAAAAAATCGTCAAGGAACAAGCCTTTGGGAAAACCGGGTTCAATCGGATAAACGTGTATACTTTGTGAATCACAAGAATCGAACAACGCAACGATCCCCGAACTCAAGGCCAAGAAGCGAACATATGCTTGCCGAACCTGGAAACAACCCTATAATTTAAAAAATACCGTAAACGAACGATAACCCAAATCATAGAACTATTCCACAAATGGTTCGTATGATACTCCGAACACGTCGTTAAGCAAAATAATCATACACATCCATAATAAAATGTATATGATTCTTTAGTTTAACGACGTGTTCGGGGTTGGATGATACCATTTGTGGAATAGTTCAATCAGTTGGGTTATCATTCGTTTATGGTATTTTTTTACTAGAGATTTTACTCGGGATTTTATTAGGGAACCCTGCAGTATACTATTGACGAGTGCACGGATGGATTTGAGTTCACTCACTCGACAAAAAGTGACACAACAGCGGGGCCCTGTTTACTAAAAATGAACTCATGAATGATGCTCGCGTAACATTTGAAAAGCGCCTATCAACTTTTGTAAATAATTTGCTAGGTCCTTTTCACGAGAACCGAAGTACGCCCACGCAAACCAAGAGCACTATCGGGAAGAGGAGAATTTCCTCTGCCCGATGGTGTTATTAGTTTGCGTGAGCGTATTCGGTTCGCGCGAAAAAGGCTTAACAAGTTTTGTGTACATAAGTTGATAGACCCGTTTCAAATGTTACGTGAGTATTATTCATGTGTTCATTTTTAGTAAACAGGGCCCCGCTGTTGTGTCACTTTTTGTCGAGTGAGTGAACTCAAATCCATCCGTGCACTCGTCAATAGTATACAGTATATATCAGTGTCAACATGTCAAAGGGGCGTAATTGCTTATGTAAACAATGAATTTAGTCGTTAATTTCTCGCAAATAAAAGCTCACTTCTCCAAATTAACAATGCTAACTGGTGGAGGAAACATTCCTCTATCTGCTGATGTAATTAATTTCCATGTGTAAGCTTTTATTCCCGAGAAATCGACGGCTAAAGCCATTGTTTACATAAGCAATTACGCCCCTTTGAAATGTTGTCACTGATATAGCATTTCAACTGCGGAACTGCACTCAGTGTAAACGTGAGCGGACAGAAGGTTTTCCCCTGGCATTTAACTACCAGTGTAGTTCATGAGCCCATGCAGCATTAAAAAAAATCAATAAAATCCAACAAACGTCATCACAGGAGAAGAGGTATAAACAAAAATGGCGATTGTTTTACTTTGAGCAGTGTTAAAGGTGTTTTCGGCATATGTTTACCATTTTTACGCGTAAAAAATCGTTGTTTATTATATTGAACCTCAATAGAACCAACAAATTTTTTTCCGCGATTCTCAAATGTCTGTACCGCCGAAATTCGCCGGTACCGGCCTGGAGGAGGTCAACGTTCCCGGACAAGCCTACCTACGAGACGCGTAAGTCGCATAATTGTTTCAGCGAAAAAATATCGATAGCCTTTAATTTTGTTCGTAAAACATTCCGCCCCTCGCAGTTTATCCTGCTGTGACGATCCGTTAAAAGCGATCGAAAACTTCCAGCTAGAGAATGGCATCCTGCTGCCCTCGCTGAGACCGATGCTTCCGCTGCTGGATCTGCACGGTGTTCGGCGGCTTGATTTTCACACCTCGGTTCTGGAGGAGCTCCGGGACAAACTGATTGCCCACATCAACGAGGTGGGTGCTAAGGAAGGACGGGAACGGGACCGGAAGCTGAAGGAACTGCTGGTGAAGAGTTTCCCGGTGGTCAGGGTCAAAGCGCTGCGACCGGTGGTGATGTGTATCCTGAGGAACACGAGCCACATCGACGATAAGTATTTGAGGATTTTGGTTCGAGATCGGGAGTTGTATCAGGACACGGATACCGAGGTCAAACGGCAGATCTGGCGGGACAATCAGTCGCTGTTTGGTGACGAAGTTTCGCCACTGCTATCGCAGTACATTCGAGAGAAGGAGCACATTCTATTCGATCACATGAATTTGAACAACTTGTTCTTTACGCCCACCCCAAAGGTTCGTAGGCAAGGGGAAGTGGTACAGAAGTTGGCGCATATGATTGGGAACAGCGTTAAGCTGTACGATATGGTGCTGCAGTTTTTGCGAACGTTGTTCCTGAGAACAAGAAATGTTCACTACTGTACCTTGCGGGCGGAATTGCTGATGGCGTTGCACGACTTGGAAGTGCAGGACATAATTTCGGTGGATCCTTGTCACAAGTTTACCTGGTGCTTGGATGCCTGTATCCGTGAGAAGAACGTCGACATTAAACGATCTCGCGAGCTGCAGGGTTTCTTGGACAACATCAAACGTGGACAGGAACAAGTGCTGGGCGATCTCTCCATGACGTTGTGCGATCCGTATGCCATCAATTTCCTGGCTACTTCCGCGATTAAAATTTTACAACATTTGATCAACAACGAAGGTCTCCCGCGGGACAATACGATTTTGATTCTGCTGCTGAGAATGTTGGCGTTGGGACTTTCTGCTTGGATCATGATCGATTCGCAGGATTTCAAGGAGCCCAAGCTGGACAGTCAGGTGGTGACAAAGTTCTTACCGGCGCTGATGTCACTCATGGTGGATGATCAAGTTCGTAACTTGCACTCCAAATTGCCTCCGGACGAGCGCGAGAGTGCCATCACAACGATCGAACACTCCGGACCGGCTCCGGATGCAGTGGAAGCCTACATTCAGGAGAGCTCCGTCGCTTCGATTCTCGCCATGTACTATACCTTGCACACGGCTCGCCAGAAGGATCGCGTCGGAATCCTTCGGGTGATGGCCATCCTGGCGTCCTGCAAAGACGACCGAGCCTACGAGGATCCATTCCTGCATTCGCTGATTGCTCTGATGATTCCCATGTCGGAAGAATTTGCCAACGAAGACTTTTGCACAGGGCTGTTCGACGAGTTCCTGTTTGCAGGTCTGACGCGGGACAACGTAACGCGGCACATGCTGAAGCTGCTTTGGTACGTGCACAACAAGCTGCCCCAGGGTCGACTGCAGACGTTGATGAAAGCGCTGCAACCGAACGCCCAGCACCACGAAAACGTGCACAAGCTGTACGAGAATCTGCAGAAACGGGTGATGACCACCCACCACGAGCCGCTGCCGGAACCGATGGAGACGGACTTTGATTCGCCGCTGAAGAGCGTGCCAACACCGGGGCCGCATTATGTTTAACTTCTTTCTTTTTTTTTGAGATAGTATTTTTAAGGATTCGATAATGTACGGCAAATTTACGGTAATGAATATGCGCAAAATATAAGAATTTGCTAAATTAAATCGGGCATTTTTTAGGATTGAAGAACTCTTCCAATACACGCATTGTAAAGTTTGATTGGTATGAATCATGATTATTGGTATTGTGGTGCAAGTCCTATATTATTGTACGAGTGCTGTAGACATGCTCACTAATACTAACGGTGGTAGAGAACTCTATTATGCTTTGTTAAATAAGCCGAATGCGATCGGATCGGATACAACGTATATTCGTTTTAAGTCAGGTAACACAGTAGTTTCATAACCCCCTGCATGATTTCTTTTGGGCAGTAAAGCAAATGCACCTGTCTCAATGTGCTTCCTTCTCTACCAACAAACGCCGCATCCAGAGTACCTAACTATTGGCAAGCCTCGTCAAGTGCCACATACTCGGCATCCATCTACGACAAACTTAGGCAATCTTGACGTCTACTTGTCCATGGTACAGCTCCTTCTACGTAGAACACCACCACGAAACCGGTCATCGAGTTTCGTTTCCAAATCAGCCTTTGGAGAAAGTTTGCAGAATTTTAAAATTTCCGTCACCAAGTTTCAGCTTCCAATGCTTGATACCCTTGAGAAACCGGAGCACTCACTTGAATGCTGTCCAATCAACTTTGTTTGAGTTACTAAACTTACGTCCTAAGATCGAAGCTCTCCACGGTGGTCTTGGATTAGAATTTAGCAAGACAACAGTCCTATGTAACCCCTCATTTTATCTGTCAAACTTTCATAACGAATCAAAACAAACATAGTGTAATACTAGAATTTCGACTACAATGGGATAAGTTAATCGATTTGCTTGTGGCCAATAACATGTTATAACTTTATAGTCTGATAGTACGTTCAGACTACAGAGTTATAACACGTTATAGCGCTATCTTGATGGTGGTTTATGTGTTGCAGTTATTTGACAACCGTTATAACATGTTATAACCATAGAGGTAACTCTAAGACTAGAAGGTCCCGAAATAACGTGCTCAACTTTTTGGCTCAGCTCTGGTACTCTCTTCGGTCCCAAGCTAATGATTCACCCCTCGAAACATAGGAAAAACCAATAACCCCTCATTTTATCTGTCAAACTTTCATAGCGAATCAAAACAAACATTGCGTAGTACTAGAATTTCGACTAGAATAGGGTACGTTAATCGTTTGCTTGGGACCAATAGGCTAGTCAAGTGGTGAGCCAATTTATAATCGTTAGTTTCGTATTGATTGTTGTTATAACTCTCCAGTCTGGACAGCGTTTGAACGTACTATTATAGTACGTTCAAACGCTGTCCAGACTGGAGAGTTATAACATGTTATAACGGTTGTCAACTAATTGCAACACAGAAACCACCATCAAGATAGCGCTATAACATGTTAGTCTGAACGTACTATAACTCTATGCTATATAGTGTCGAGATGGTTTTATCACCGACAAACCGACATGACACTTAATTCTGGCTTATGCCCGAAAATCTTAAACGGCCGATTTAAATGTGCAGTGATCCGAACTGGGGCTGCAAAATGGTGAGTTGACAACCTGGAATGAGCGGAAGACCTAGCCCTGGTCCTCACAAGTTCCTACTTCACGCCTCCTCGACGATAACAAAAAACTACCAGCTGAAACATGGACACAGCTGGGTGGCGTAGCCTGGGCAATAGCAAAATGAAGAGGTGCGACGCGAACACTAGTGCGGTAACCATAGTACGGTGATCGAGGAAATGCTTCACCAAACCCGAGCGTCTGTTCACCATGGAGGTGCGGCTCAAAACGGCGTCTGTTCTCCATGTTAGGAGCGGCTGATCACCGTCCTAGTGCCAGCGTGGGACTCTAAACAGAGCTGTGCACGATGGTCCCCCGGCGAGACAGGGGGCTGGGGCAGGCCCAACAAGCCGCCCTGAAAAAAAAAACAAAGTTGCAAATACTGAAGAAAGAAATACGGATCGGAACAATCGGCACAGACCTACGCGACGAAATAAGGACTACGATTGGAAACTCGGAACATGGAACTGCAAATCGCTCGGCTTCCCGGGTTGCGATAGGTTAATCTATGACGAACTTCAACCATAGAGGTAACTCTAAGACCGCTGGGTCCCGAAGAAAATCATTATTATTTTTGGCTCACTCAGTACCAGAACAACGGTCCCAAGCAGTCCCAAGCTATTTCACTCACCCCTGCATGTTCTGCATAAATCCACACACCCCTGATGTTATCTGTCAAACTTTCATAGCGAATCAAAACAAACATAGTGTAGTAATAGAATTTCAACTAGAATAGGGTACGTTAATCGTTTGCTTGGGACCAATAGGCTACTAAAGTGGTGAGCCAATTTAAAATCGTTAGTTTCGTATTGATTGTTGGTACTATGACGAGCACCTCAACGGTGAAGCAGCAGAAAACGAAGGTGGCACGGCAGCAGACCTTGAAGCACGCGCAGAAGACGACAGGCTACCGGCCCCTGATCTTCAAGAAGTTGAGGAGGAGATGTAGGGTGCACGACACAAATACCGTGCCAAACGATTTCCTACGCAATTAATCAACCTTTGATGTGAATTTCGCTGATAAACACGAGGAGCATTTCTTATAGCAAAACTTGCCATAACAAAATGGGCATAGTTCATTTTAGCACAGAGAACAGACATCCAAGCTTAAACAAAATTTTCGAAAAATTATGTGTAAGAATTCAAATTAAAATACGTTAGAAACACTAGCGCCACTATACGGAATGTTGTGACTCGAGTTAAAGTGCGATTAATGAGTTGACTGAACTAAAATGTGGGTTGATCTTATTAACCGTGTATCCAAATGAACTGTCAAATCAGTTCAAAACAAACAAACCAAAACAACAGAAATCAATCGAGTACTGGGCATCCCTAATAAAAAATAACCATAAACGAACGATAACCCAAATCATTGAACTAATCCACAAATGGTTTGGATGATACCCAGAACACGTCGTTAAGCAAATTAACCATACAATTTTTATTAGGGATAGTAGTCAGGAGCAAAACTGACTTTTTTTTTAGTTCACTGGCGATTCAGTGATTCAGTGAGGGTGTGAACTCTAATTATTAGCTCTCATTTAAATTCAGATAAATGTGGTAAGATTTGAACACTGCTTACCCTGCATCCGTTCATCCAGGAATTCGAAAAGCTTCCGGGGGGAAGTGGTTGGAACATAAATATTTCGTTGCACTCAACGTGAGAAAAAAATCTCCTGTAATTCGGGTTCGGAAAATTGTGAAAAGATTCTTGCTTGGAAACTCGCATTTGCCGCCCATGTTTGATCGGTTTTAAACAAACATTGTTTTGCTCACAACAGTTTTGACATTTATGTTAGGATGAAGTCTGCCAGCCATCGACGTCGATGCGCAGCGAAACTAGCACCACCACGATATTACTAACACAGACAAACAGACGTAACTCTTCATTGTGTATCTTCGTTCACGCATTTAACGGTTGATTTGAATATTATCAGTTCCGCGAACTACTCGCCGCAGCGCTGGCATCGGATCACTTTGACGTTTCTATACATTCTATAGAACTTTTATGCAATATTGTTTGCGAGTTAGCGAGCAAGCTTGTTTTCCGCGAGAAGCCTGAAAGATGTCGCTACTGAGGTCCTATGTTTTGAGATACTATGTTTTCAAGAAAAACTTTTTCAAAGAGTTACGTCTGTTTGTCTGTGTTACTAGTATCAAATATCTATTCAAAATAGCAGTTAAATTTCTTACACACTTTAGGAATTGGACTTGCATGTCTGTTCTTTGTGATTTTAGTAAACAAACTAACACTTCTTCCTTGTGTGTCATCTTTGATTAAGCTCCTAGGGCTAGTGTTACCTTTTCCAGTTTACCATATAGGTAGGGTAAGGTGAGGCAAGCTGGGCCATCAACTTGAGTTATTTATATTTTTGATTGTCAACACCAACAGGCTTAAGGCTGAAAAAGCAAACCATCATTGGGGTTGCATGGATCATGAACAAATAAATTAATAAATGTACTTGCTAACCCATCTAGCCCCACCTTGCCCTATGTATTTGGAGATTTGAATTTTCAGATAAAACGTGAAATCGTGCTGTTTGCTGCAGGTCAGTATCAACTGTTTCCGGAGGTATAAAATTCATGCTTTGTGGCCTCACAACTGGATCTCAAATGCCTGGCTTCACCGTCAGAAATTCAAATTCAATAGCGTAAGTGGTCGAAAGAGCAGGAACGAAAGCACGCGTTGGGTTTGAACCCGGCAGCACATTCGCGTTGACGGCACCGTCAAACTCTTCTAGCTAATATTGACTGTTTCATAATATGGGAATTTTCGGTGGAGTGAAAGGATAGTACGAAATCCGCCTTGTATACTGATTTATTCGGGAATGAAGTTGGATGAATTTTGGAAGAAATGCTGGAGCTTAGTGAAGATCTACATCTTGACGTGGAGCCTACTGCAACTGACGAAAAACCGAAGGAAGATAAAGATGAGTGTTCTGATCGAGGTGTACACCAAAAACCAACCTCGCTTTTCTGCACGTGTTCTTATTTCATTTTCCTGTCAACGCAAAACCGAAAGAAGACGATTGACAGACGCCCAGCCGGCGCCTGTAGTGTAGTGGTAAGCGTGACTGTTTTCTCACCCCAATGGGTCTGGGTTCAATCCTAGCCGAGGTCGGTGGGATTTTTCTGAGGCATAAAAATCTCTGGTTACGTCTTCCTTCGGAAGGGAAGTAAAGCCGTTGGTCCCGGCCCATGTGTGTTGAATAGGTGCGATATCCTACACAGGTGTGGAAGCTGCTTTCCTGCACATTCGTTTGCCGCCAGTGGATCAATCGATTTCTGTCGGTGATTGGCACTAGATTGCGAAACAGAGACCGACGTTAAATAAAGGAAAGAAGAAAGAACATACGCCCCTAAAAATGTAACGGCTTTCGGATTAAGGCGAAACCCCACCAACTTGTCACAAATGTCAAATTCATTGTTGTCTTTATTGATTTTTGTGAGAGATTGTTTCTTTCCAGCTTTTCCATAGCAAAAAAAACCTTGCACATTTCTCTTTAAATGTAATTAGCTCGCTTAAACCTGACATAATATCTCTGACTGTTGCTTCCCGGGTAGGGTTTAGATGTTTTTTTTTTGTTTTATTATTTGTTTACTCTTAAACATACGGATGATGATGTGATACCTGTTGTGTATATAATTACTTCGACAACGAATTTTGTTTAATTTGTTCTTGATTTTCCTCCGTCCCACACTTCCTCGGGCACAAGAAGTGAGGTTATGATTTGCATTCGGATTTTTTCCTTAAGCTTTTAAAGAGCATTTTAAAATCGAAAACTTAAGCATGCAAAGCGATTCTTGCTCCTTGCCTCTCTTTCTCGCTTTAAATGTAGGTATTTGCTCTCGCAGTATAATTTTGTACAACGATTTGAAATAGATCCATAACTTAAAAACGCAAAGTAAATAGAACGCTTGAGAACTGTCAATATCCATTCTTTTTTCGATTTATTGCTTACACAAAGATGACAACAACGACGACGATGACGGGATAAACTAAAAACTAATTACGATGATGATGCACGTGCGGTTCCAGCGAAATATCTGCATATGCGGAGAATATGCATAAGATTTTTATCCTAAGCCTGCAACAAGCCACGCGTTCGTCGCCAATTATTTTTGCTGTCTGTGTGTGTGTGTGTGTTGCTGTTTCTATAGCAACTGGCAGCAGTGGCGTTTCTCCCGCTTCGGTTGCTGTACCGTCTCCTGGCTCTTCTTCTTGCGATTGGAAATGTCCCGAATCAGGTCGTAGAAAGTCTGACGGGGTTTTGTTTCGTTTTGGTTTTGTGGTTTAAATTTGCAATAATTGTAAAGAAAATAAGGAAAAGGTGAATGTAAACAATGGTATGATGGAGGTGATGGAAATTAAACCCAATATGGCGGACACGAGCTCCCAGGTACAAACATGGCGGACACCAACAACGATAACATCAACACGTGTACGGTACGGTATTCACACACTCGCAACAACACAGCACAGAATTGACGCAGCCGAGAGAAGGGGGGGGGTGTTGGAGGGGGTTGGGAGGTGCAATACCAGCTCGGTGCTTATTGTTTAGCGATATAAATACAAGCATTAAGTTCGCAATCAACATATGTTTAGCGTGGCAAACCAATAGAGAAATAATGGGGATTATGGAAAACGAAAATAACCAAAACAAGAGCAAAAGCAAAATAAAATGTACACCAATTCGTTTAGCTTAGTTAATATGCATTTCTTCCTAGTTTATTTGTTCGTCTTCTCTCGCCTTAGCATATTTTATAGACCTTGCATTATTTGTAACAAATAATTAGCATTTGCTTGTTTGATAACCTCCTTAATGTTAAGAGAGTGATTTTGCTCATTCTAAATTGATCATTTCGGCTTAACTAGTCATCCTTCTCCGTTCCTTTCTTTCTCTTTCCCTCTCGGTAATGATACGACTTAAACTTAAATAATAATATTTAATAAAAACGTGGAGATTATCTACCGGATGTTTCACTGTTTTGTTCTGCACGTGAGTGTATCTGTGTAGGTGTATGCGTGTGTTGTGTGTTTGTGCCAAGTGCTGAGCGCGCGCCTTTGTGTGAGTGTGTTTTTTTGCATTCCGCTTTGTTCTGCTTCTTCGTCGCTCTCAGCACACTGCGCGGAGTTCACCAGCTGCTTCCACCTCCTATATCAGCGTACATTTGAGTTTCCTTCGTTTCGATTTGTCTTTGGCGCGACCGTTCGGTGCTTTCGAGTCTTCCGTTTTCCGCGAGCGTATCTCGCGCATCAAGTCGAAGAACACCTATTTGGAAATGAGTGGGGAAAGGGGGGTGGTGTTGGATGTGACGGAGAGACGGAAAAAGCAAACGCGGAAAGTTTCAGCGATAGGGTTAAAAGGGCAGGAGAAAGATAGAGAAAGATGGTACATACAGAATGGGGAACGCTCTTCTTTATACTTGAATGCAATGCGTGCGGTTGCGATGCGGCGGGGGAGTTTTCTAATCTCAGTCAAGTGTCGTAATCGATTGAAAAGTGATGTCGAAATATATGAACTGGATTTCATCAGTCCAGAATTAAAAATAAATATATTCCAAAGTAACTTTGCCGCAACAAAAACGCACGCATTACAATGGGACCTTAACATAAACATTATTTAACTAAATATACAGCAGTTACAGTTAGGGAACGGAACTTAAAGCTAGCGTTAACACTCCATTCTATCGCTCACAATCGAGTGGCAACGTGTGGAAAATTTCGTTCTTCTTGACATTTGGATCACCGCTCAATTCTAGATAGAGCTGTAATTAGGGCCTAACAGCTTTTGTAAACAATGACTTCTCTTGATGATTTCTAGACAGTCAAGACGTCCCCTACCTGATGGTTATGTTGGTTTACGTGGGCGTGCCTTGAATTCCTAGAAAACATCGAGAGAAGTCATTGTTTACAAAGGCTGTTACGCCCTAATTCCAGCTCTATCTAGAATTGATTAACAGGTAATTAAATGGTAGGAGGGGCATAATGAGCAACTTGTACTTTAGCCTTAAATTTCTAATTGTTCAGAACAAATGAATTGGTACTAGGTTCAATATCAATATGATATTGTACCTACTACCAATTAATTTGTTTGGAACAATTAGAATTTTAAAGCTAGAGTATAGGATGCTCTTTATGCCCCTCCTACCCCTATTTTTATACAAATCGAGGCCAACACTTTACAGTGTATCGTAAGGTAGAAGTAGTTTTTAAAATAATATAATGTAATACTCTTCACAATAGAGAGGCCTCTAAAGACACCGGGCGGTTACAATAAAGCCAACCAGCCAATCCTAGACCTAGTTCGGAAATGTACTAGGGCAGTTGTACCAGTTATGGCTATACGCTAGGCTAGAGAACACTCCCAGGCAAAATAGCAAACACAAATTGAAGTTTTTTATCATCAAGTGACGATGAAGCTGTAAACCATAACCACAGACAAACAGACATAACACTCACAATCACATTCATCGCAAATAATGTTTTAGTTGGGAATGTGCTTGCATTTCTCTTGGTGGCGCCACTGAAGCATTGAGCAAGCCCCCACATTTCAAACTTATCAGTGATGCCAGTTCTTTTTCACGTCTAGTTAGTAGATGTCAGCTCTTGAAAATGATAAGTCCGGAGTGATTTGAGATTTGGGCGTAATTGCATTTGTAAACAAACACGTCAACCACCGATTTCTCGCGAACGAAAGCTCAATTTCGAAAACTAATAACACTTTGAGGTGAAGGAATTATTCCTCTATCATTTGGCATAGCTTGTTTACGAGATTGAGGTTTTATTCAGGAGGAATCGGCGATTGACGTGGTTGTTTACAAAAGCAATTACGCCCAAATTTCAAATCACTCCGGAAGTGTTCAAGTCATCCCACTGGAGACACATACGACATCTGACGAATGCAGAAAAAAAGTTGTTGAATATTACTTAAAAACTGCTGCACATTACCCATGTAACAATTTTATGAGGGTTTTGAAGACCATTATTTAGACTTGAAGAATGCTATAAAACCATGATAAAACTTGCAATGCTACTTGGGTAGTCATTCCGTTCCTAACATTACTTTGTACGAGGTACACAGAATTCGAGAACAAATCATGTTGATGACTGTAATATTCTATCAACTTTTACCAGTTATTGATGTTCAATACTTCACCATGAATATCATTGATTGATACATATTATTTTTTTCTATGTACACATTAAAGTGACACCATTTAGAAATCCAAGATGGCGGCTTCCGATTTCAGAACAAATGGGAAATATTGTCAAATACCCATCAATATAGATATTTTTGGAATCGGGATGGCGTCTAGAAGCCGGAAATCGATATCCGACGCCATTTTGAAATCTAAGACGGCGACTTCCATTTCTGCGGAAAAGTGTCAAATACCCTAAAATATGGTTATTTTCAGAATGGGGATGAGACGTGGCTTCCGATTTCAGAAGAAGTGTCAAATGGCCTGCATATCCCCGTTCCGAAAGTACCCTGTATTTGACGAGGGGGGCGACACATCTAAATCTCAAGTTTAGATGGTCAACAAATCTCACACTAGCGAATCAATCTTCGAACAATCTTCTTTCATTTGTCGCATCTACTTGCATCGCTCATCAATTTTTTGCAGGAAATCTTCAGAATCGTCATCAATCTTCTTTCTATCTACTCAGCGTGCGTGCAGCTAGCCACAGCAAAACACAATCTTTTTTGCATCGTAGATAGAGTCGTCCCCCTCGGTATTTGACACTTTTCATGAAACCTGATGGCCGCCATTCCAAAATGGCATCGGATATCGATTTTTGGCATCTACGGTTTGTCCTCGTTCCAAGAATAACCATATTGTAGGGCATTTGGCACTTTTCTGACCCCGATGGCCGCCATCTTGGACTCCAGAATGGCCTCGTTAATTTAATTTTGTTCAACATAAAACAATATATTATTGCTATATATAATCCGGATGCCATCGCTATCGGCAACGGATATTGTGCGAATACTATATTTTGATGCTTGACAAGTCGAATGAGCCCGAATTGAAGTGAAAGTAGATAACAGTTTTCGAGTCATTCATTGCGTCAATTGAAACAAGTCTTTGCTTCAAACGAAATGAACTGAAGCACTTGACGAACGAAACAAGCGATAGTCAAGTCATGTTTGAAAGGAGGAATGTTCATCGTGACTCGATAACAAGAAACACAATGACTTACACGAAAATGATATTGCTCGAAATGAAGCGATTCTGCGGAGAGTTCATTCATGCTCCCAGGCAAAATAGCGAACACAATTTGAACTTTTTAATCGACCTTCTCCGATTTGTTTGAAACTTAGTGTAATTGATTGTTATAGGAAATGATTCACATTTATGCTAAATTTCGGCCATTTTGGATATCGTAACAATTTCAGTATTATAGGGATTATGATTATAATTTCAGAGAGCTGTAGAAGCAAATCGAAAGGAATTTCTGGAAGCATTCTAGGGGAATTCGCAGCATCTTTCCTTCAAAGTGAATTAACCCTACGGCAAGCTTGACCACATGAAACTACACCCAATGATTACCTAGGGCTGGAAATCTCTTAAGTGTTGATCAATCAATTAATCAAAGACAAATTTTGACGGGAGCTGCAAGGAAATATGGCTCCTAATTCCACAGACGAACAGACATAAGACATTGAACATTTTTCAGATGGCGGCAGTGTAAAAATGTCAAACGCGCGCCACAGTCGACGCTACTACCAACTAAGACAAATTTAAATTGACCGTTAAATGCGTGATCGATGATAAACATGTAAGAGTTATGTCTGTTTGTCTGTGCTAATTCCATGGAAATCTAAATCTTAAAATAGCTCGAAAAATTCTTTGCATAATGTCATGTTAGTTTGAAGATAGTTTCAAACGAATTTATAAGAATTTTGCGAAGGGGCCGACTCTATCTAAGATGCAGGAAAAAAAATTGCTTTGCTGTTGTACATGCTTAGTAGATAGAAAGAATATCGATGAAGATTTTGAAGGTTTTCTGCAAAAAGATTGAGAGCGATGCTAGTAGATAGATTTAGATGTAAGAGATGAAAAACGATTTTTCGTAGATTAATGCGCTAGCGTATGGTTTTCCGACCATCTGAAATTGAGATTTAGATGTGTCGCACCTCCACAAATTTTGAGGGAATTTCAGGGAAGGTTTGGTAAGAAATTTTGAACGTATTTCCAATGAAACTGTGAGTTGTGCTCCAAGAAAATCTAAATACATTTCCAAGGGAATACTA